GTAACTCTTTGGGCAGCCTTTATGCCAATTACTCCGACTTAATCCTCATCTTTAACTCCATTTCCTCTGATATTTGAATAGATGCCAGCTGGCTTGTTCTTGGCTACATCAGTTTTGGCTGCTAGATTTATTGGGTTTATTGTTTTCATTGTAGTTACAAACTGCTTAACCTCTTGTGAACATTTCAATGTTAAAACGGCCATAATTTCTTCTAGAAAAATGATATTAACAATCCACGAAATGTCCCAGAAAATAGACATCCGTAGCTTTCCAAGAATATAAGGCTCATTCTCGAATTCATTCTGAGCTGTCCGCAACTTGCTTCCAAAGCTAGCTGATCTGCACAGACAGTTTTGACCAATTTGTTACTTAAAATCCCACTTGTGATATTTTTCTTTTCTTTACTTGACAAATCCTACAAAACACAAAAACAAAGTAAATAGCTCAACAATATAAGGAACTAACGAAGAAAAGACAAGTGAATTTGATGTAAAATATATGTAAATATGAGTTTATCAATACTCGGTCATATGCTTCGCAAAGGAACTTGGGCAGACAACACCTTTAACGCTATCAACAAACTTGGCACAAGCATCCATGTCTTCAAGCAGATCTGGTTTCAAGAGCGCGCAAATCTCGCCAGCTTCCCCGAAAATAAGCTTGGTGGATTTCTCACAAATGCCCACACGAGCAGTCTCATTCTTCTTAACAGGCAAATCAGTTTTAGCAGAAGGGGGAGTGGCTTTTAGTGCCACTTTAGTAGCACAGTCCACCTTATCTCTCTTCATAGTAGCAAGTCTCTTCAAAGATGAACCAGACTTAGTCCCCAACGAACGTTTTGGCATAAATTTCAGCATTGGGGGAACGACAGACCTTCTACACTAAGCAATCATATCAGCAATTGAATTAGCCACCTTTGGAATGACAGGCATTACTGGTACAGATCTAGCAGCCTCATCCTTTTCACCGTTGGACAAAGTCAAGTCAATCACAAGTCTGGGAGCAGCCGGCGAACCTTCGCGAGCAGCGGAATATGTCTTTAGTTTTTTCTTAGCTGGCATTTCTTGAGCAGGCGGGGAAGATCTCTTTTTCTTACCTTCATTTGCAGCGGGCTCCATAACGGCGATCGAATGCGCTAGTGCCTCCGCCTTGATTCGTTTTATCTCTTCTCTCGGGGGCAGCCTACCTTTCTCCCGGCAAAAAGGACTAAGCAGCCAATGCCACTCGCGATGCTCAGGAGGAATTCCTAGTGCAATATGCACCTTCTTCATATCAGGAGAAGTCTTAGGAGTCGAGCAGAATTCCAAATCTACAAGGGCAAAGCAAGACAATCAGTAAATCAGAGAGAAACTTAGCGAAAAGCACAAAGCAACTGAGGGACTAAGCAGCCTACTTACTGGAGATGAAAAACGTTGGAACACGCAGGTTAGGGGAGGAATCAAACTCCCATTCTCCATTTATCTCCAAAGTCTCCTTGGCCCAGTCATGATCTTCCTTGCTTGAGTGGTCAAAGAGTCTATGGTGAGATCGCAGCTGCCCAACTCCTTCAATGTGGCCAATGTCAAAGAAGTACCAAAATTCATTGATGGTCAAATTCAAGTGAAAGAATTGGCTTAAATTGATGAACCTCACCATCACACAGACCGTATTCGGAGAACATTGAGCAAGGGCACACTTCACAGAGCAAAATACTTCTTGGAAGAAACGAGGCATAGGGAAAGTGAATCCCAACATAAAGTAGTAAGGGTGAAATTTGATTGCTCTCCGAGCCCCACTGCCCATGGCTGCTACTTTCTTTGACGTGCTTCACACGCATCCTGGACGGAATGGCATGCCTATATGCCTTAAGGAAGTCTCTAAACAAGTCATCAGAGCTAATCTTGAAGTGAGCAACTTTGAAGTAGCCCACCTTGCTCAAGGACCCACCTTGATGATATAATTATGGCACACCATCATCACCTTTATGGCTAAAAGAAGACATACTCGAAGGAATTCTATAAAAATAGAGGGAATGGTCTCGGCATGCCAGGCCTCATAGCCTAAGTCAACAGTAAAAGGGCAAGTGCCTTAACGCGCACGTCAACAACTCTCTATCTTTCTCCTATATCAGCACGAGCCTGAGCCTAGCGATAAAAAAAAAAAAAAAAAAAAGGAGGCCTACGCCCCTTGAACCAACCACCATGCCGACACGGGCCCAAGTCCAAATAGAGGGGGGTTGGCGTCTTCGCACCTCCCTTCCTTTCTTTTCTCCCGCACAGGCCTGAGCCTAGCAGCCCAAATTCAAGGCCAGGCCATAATGCCCCAACTAGCCACACGTGGCAGCAGCCCAGCCGTGACTTCCCAGCCACCTTTTCACGTCTTCTCGACCCCCGCCGAACCAAATTTCAAGCCTTGAGGCTCCCAAAAATTAAGAAGACAAGGAAAATTAAATTTTTTTCTTACCTTGATGCAGCGTAAAGGCGAAGAAAGCAACAAAAAATGGTCCTTTGCACGGGCAAGTGAAGAAGATTGCTAGGGGAGGGGGAACAAATATCCTATAACTTTCTCTCTCTTGTAGGGTAGAATAAATTGCTCTCTGAAGTTAATTTAATAATCTACTTAAGGTAGATTTAAGTAGACTTTAGAAGTAATTTATTTTCATTTCCTAAAAGGATCTAATTTCCTATTAATAAGGGAATCTACATCAAAATAGGAAAGTATACTATGTTTTCTAAAGCAAGGGAAGATCTTTACACCTACTGCCCTTTCTTGTGAGCAGCCAACAGGTGTAGGGGCATTTGTGGAGCCAAAAATAACGACCCACACGTGACCAAAAGCGAAGATCTATACACCTACTGCCCACACGTGTACCTTTGGGTAAAAAGAACAAAATTACCCTTGAGGCACACCGGGATTCCCACGTGCATGCAACAAACAATAACGACCCAATCAAGGTCAAAGGTGATCAAAATGGTATTCATTCAAATCCCTTTTCATCAATCCTCATCAAATCCTCCCCACAAGGTAACTTCGAATTAATTCTTTTCGAATTATGATTGATTAGCTAATTAATTGATTAATTACCCAATTAATTGATTAATTGCCTAATTGATTGCAATTACACTCAAATCACCACCATAAGTGGCCGGTCCCTATTTCTCCAAATAAGGCCGGCCACACCCCTATATATAGCCCCTCATTTCTCCAAAAACCTAAGTCCAATTTTCTTCTAAAATTCTCCAAATTTCTCTAAACACTTTCTCTCTCAAATTCTAACTTTGACATTGGATGTTCTTTGGCCAAAGCGCACCCCCCCCCCCCCCAAAAAAAATTCATCGTGGGTGCCTGAGGCTCTTGGTGTTAATTGTTGTGCAGGTGGATTTTTGTCCAAGAAGAAGGAGAAAATTTACATCCACAATGTGCATTTCAGATTCATTTGGTTAAGTGATTGATTTTGCCACATGTTCGACTTGACCGTTGTAGGGGCCCATATGTTAGCCCCCTTAGCATTGCTGCATATGAGTTCCTTCGACGTTTAAGTCAATTATCGGTAATAACTCAAAGCAGTAGGTTGAAGTTAAGAAATTGTGCGATACCTTGTATCTACAATCAATAATCTAGTTTTAGTGTAGGAGCTGTAAATCCAATATAAGGTGTAACTCCAAATCTAAAAAGGAAATCAAGGAAAGGTCTTTTCCAAATCCAAGTCACTTTAGGTACAGAATTTCCCAAATTCCGGAGGTAGAGACTAATCTAGACATGACTAAGTATTTCTTAACATGTGGGCCAAGTAATCTTTTCTTAAATAGGCCTCAACCAATTCGACCTAAGAGACCTGGCCCGTTGGGCTCTCACTTCCCCCACATAGTTTTTAAGCGTGATTTCGTCTTTTTGGTGCTCGGACGCAACGAGTGGTGGAATAGACAAATTTGAGTTATTAAAATGACGTTTATTTTTTTACTTTTTTTGTGTGAATTCGATAATGAGCGGTGGAGGTGACAAATATTGGTAGTTCGAAATGTCGTTTTCTTTCAATGTTGACATAATTATGTATTAGAAATCAGAAATATAGTTGAATATCAGAGTGGGCGATAGAACAAGACTAACAAAAATATTATTAATAGAGAATGCCAAAAGGGCTACAGAATCTCAATGGACTACATTGTGACTAACTTATTTCTTAAACTAAATTACAAACAATATTTATAGATAACTAAACCTAAGAAACCCTAACTCGGATGGGCTAGGCCCAATTCCTAAACTAACAAGGAAAACCCAAATACTAAAATAAATATAAATACTAATATTTTCCAACACCGCCCCCCCCTCCCCACGCCCGCGTCAAACTCACGGCGGTACACAACATGATTTTGCCAACAGACGATGTGGATGCAAGCTTGTTATGCTAATTTCTGATGCTAATTTCAATATGAAATTTCATCGGTGCAAGTGTAAGATTCCAAATTCCAGTGCCAATGCCAATGCCAATGTAGTGCAAGATTCCAATGCCAGTGCTAGTGCCAGTACAAGATTCCAATGTCAGTGCCAGTGCAAGATTCCCATACCAATTGCAAACTTCTGAACAAATCAATAAAAAACCAATTCACCATGTACACAACGTCACTTGAGTGGTCACCAGTCCAAACATTTGAACTATCATTGTGGTGAGCAACTACAAACAAGCCATACAGCATCAACAAACTCATTATGGGCCTCCAAACAAACTAAGCCCAACAACAACTTCGAACAAGAAGTCTTAATAGCAGCAACATGTGAGCCCAAAACATTAAAAAAAAACAACAAATTTTTTTTTCTCCTTGACCGTGTGGGTTTTTTATTTTTATTTTTTTAATTTTTTTTAATTTTTTATCTTCTTCTTTTCTCATTCTTCCTCTTTTTCCTTTTTGTGTAAACAAGTGTAGGAACTCTAGTGCAAAACGCGTGGGGTGCAAAAGGTGCGAATGCAGTGCAGGAAATGGTGTGGTGATGCGGTTGGTGAGATGTAGATTAAAGCGGCAGCGATGAGGGCTGTGCAAGTATGTGGTCACGACGGTGGAGATGGATCCAGACTGGGAAACGATGCGAGATACCCGCAGATGCGAGATGATGGTGTTGAATGGTGGTGGTTTCATATTGGTGGACAGTTGCAGATACATGTTTATTAAATTTGTTTTGCAAGAATCAGGAGTTTAAATGGAGATGAACTCAATCCAAGTGGTTCTCAGTTCTGGGCTTCGTCAACACCTGCGAGTGATCAGGACAAATACGGACAGCGGGGAAGGAGCAGAAGGCTATCAGATGCAAACTAACTTTTTTCTAAAACACATTTTTTTCAGACTTTTTTTTTTCTCTCTTGCAAACTATAAATCAGACAACTAAACAATCTAAACATGAACAACGATGGACACAGATAAAATAATAGAACCCTAACTAATGGATAACATATGCGACGAACAAATGAATATCAAACAAGTATTGACACACAATCCAGCACATCATAACAATTTTCTATTTGCTTAGTGTAACAAATTGTTGTCTTAGTGTAATTAGTTATACTTGATTAGGTGCTAATTATGATTAGCAGGTGTATATATACACACAGTTGTAAAGACTCATTCATTCAATGAAACAGAATCTTTCATAAATCTCATATGGTATCAACTGCCTTTGTTTAACTGCCTCTTCACGATCCTTTCCACCTTTTAGCAATTTTCATTGATCTTCGTCTCTCGATTAATTCTCTTCACGCTTTCATTTGCGATTTTCTTCAGTTCTTGATCAATTCTCCATCTTTTCGATCTTTAATGTCTGTTTCTCTCTATGTCTCTGATGGAATCTTCGGCTTCTTCTCCAGAGAATCCTAGCATTCTTGTCCCAAATTCATCTTTGATGAACCCTAACCTTAATTCCCCAATTTCATCTATTTCTTCAATCACAATCCAAAACATTAGTCGTATGGTTCCCACAAAGCTTAAATGAGACAATTATCTCGTATGGAAGGCACTTTTTGCTCCAATCTTTCTCCGTTACAAGCTAACTGGAATTCTTGATGGCACTGAAGTGTGTCCACCGCCATTTCTTCTTGACAATCCTGGCCACAGCACCTGTGCTCCGAATCTTGCCTTTGAAGCTTGGTATGAGAATGATCAAAACATCCTCATTTGGTTAAATTCCACTTTATTTGAAGAAATCATACCTTTCACCGTTAGTGTATCTTCATCTCGCGAATTGTGGATCAATCTTGAACAACGCTTTGGTGGAGTCTCTGTTACACACATTTACCAATTCCACACTCGCCTTCGCTCAGTTCAGAAAGTTGATCTTTCAATCTCTGAATACATTCAACAAATCAAAAGTATTTCGGATGCTTTAATGGTTGTCGGTGTGCCAGTTTATGATCATGATCTTATTGTTGTTACGCTCAATAGCCACTCTGATGAGTACGAGTCCTTCATTGACTCTATAATGTTGCGAATTTCCTCCACAACTCTTGATGAACTTCACGGTTTATTGATCAACAAAGAACTCTTTATGAGTCAAAAGAAGAAATCTGTTGTTCCTTCTGTTACAAAACCTTTTCATGCCTATGCTGCTTAGTCTCAACGTTCTCAGGCTTCGATTCTTCCAACGCCTCAATTTATTGCATTTCCTCAAGCATTTGATACTCCATATTCCAACTAAAATTCTTTTAAGAATTATCGAGGCAGCAATTGTGGCAATAATCGTGGCAACAATCGCAGTTTCAACAATTCTCGTGGGACTGGTAATTTTCGAGGCAACTCCTACAATCCAAGTCATTATTCAGGAGGCTCAAATCGATAATACTCTGGTGGCCAAGTTCCCTATCAAATTTGTCACTCTTAGGATCATGAAGCAATTGACTGCTTTGAATGCATAAATCATGCGTTTGCTGGGAAAATTCCACTAATTAAATTAGCAGCAGTGTGTGCTCAGACCACTGCTAAATCTACCTCTTCTGCCTAGATTTTGGACTCTAGAGTTACCTCGCATATCACGAATGATATCTCTGCCATTCATTCTTCTATGCCTTATCATGGTGAAGACAAGGTTTATATCGATGATGGTCAAGGTATGCCCATTCACCACACTAGCACTTTTGTTCTTAAAACTCTAACTGCAGCATTTAAGTTGAACAATGTTCTCCATGTTCCTCATATGAAGTTTAATATCCTCTCTTAAGTTGAACAATGTTCTCCATGTTCCTCATATGAAGTTTAATATCCTCTCTGCATATCAATTTTTAAAGGATAATTACTATCAATTAATCCTTGAATCTGATTGTTCTACAATCAAGGACCGTTCTATGGGGATAATGCTTTTTCAGGGCCAGTTAGCTCTGGCTTCCTTACAACTTTAGCATAAGAGGCTTGGACATCCCTCTTCTGCAATCTTCCGGAAGATATTAAGTAGAAATAAGCTTGCTAACACTAGAAAACAATCTATATCTTTCTTTTGTCAAGATTATGCAATTGGTAAAAATCATAAGTTGCCATTTTCTGTAAGCACTAGCAGTACTACTCATAGTTTAGAACTTGGTCACTGTGATGTTTGGGGCCCTGGTCATATCTCCTTTGTTAGTGGATATAAATTCTATGTTTTGTTTGTTGATGAGTTTACCAAATATAGTTGGCTATTTCCTTTGAAGTTCAAATCTGAGGTCTTCTCCATATTTGTGCATTTCAAATCATATCTTGAGAATTTGACTGGAAACAAAATTAAGACTCTACAATCTGATTCAGCGGGTGAGTTTACATATTCTCAGTTTAGTTCATTTCTTCTCCAACGTGGTATTTTGCATCAATTCAGTTGCACTCACACCCCAGAGAAAAATGGGTGTGTTGAAAGGAAACATAGGCATTTAACTGAGACCACTCGAACAATGCTTGCTGCTTCCAAAGTTCCTCACAAATTTTGGGCTGAAGCTTTCTCTAGTGTAATTCATCTAGTTAACAGATTGCCAATTTCTGGTTTGGATAAATCACCATGGGAACTTCTTTTTCAAAAGCCTCCAGATTACTCAAGGTTAAAAGTTTTTGGATGCAGTTGCCATCCTTAGCTCAAACCTTATGTTTCTTCTAAACTTGATGGCAAGAGTACACCATGTGCCTTTCTTGGTTATAGCCTGCAGCATAAGGGGTATAGATGTTTAGATATGCAAACATCTCGGGTCTATATTTCCAGGCATATTTTGTTTAATGAGAGTCATTTTCCATTTCATCAAAAATCTCTTCAACCATCTACCCAATACTCATTTTCTGTTCCAGATTCATCCTTTATTTTACCCTTTCCCATTACTTCACCTCTTACTGCATCTACTGTACCTTCTCCTATATCATCTTCTCTGTTACATTGTTCCAACTCTACATCTTCACATCTTGCCTTTCAATCAGTTTCTCCACCTTTTATTCAACCATCTGTTTCTCCATTCCCCCTCCACCTCCCACAATACTCACCCAATGATAACTCGATCCAAAGCTATAATCTTTAAACCAAAGGCTTTAACAGCAACCAAACACCCTATTGATCTTGCCCAATTTGTTCCTACTACATATTTACAAGCATCTAAGCATGTTCACTGGAAACAGGCTATGTTAGAGGAGTTTCAGCTCTATAGTATACTGGTACATAGACTCTTGTTCCATCTTCTACTCATCAGAATTTAATTGGTTGTAAATGGGTTTTTAGAATAAAGAGGAAACCTAATGGTTCTGTGGACAGATACAAGGATCGATTAGTAGCCAAAGGTTTTCATCAACAAGAAGGTGTGGATTTTAAGGAAACTTTTAGCCTTGTTGCAAAGCCAGTGACCATTCGGATTTTGCTAACATTGGCTATTCAGTTTGACTGGTTCTTGAATCAACTGGAGATTAGTAATGCTTTTCTCCATGGTTCCCTCAAAAATGAAGTATTCATGCAGCAACCTCCAGGCTTTATTGACTCTTTTAAGTCTTCTTATGTTTGCAAGTTAAATAAATCGCTTTATGGGCTCAAGCAAGCTCCTATAGCTTGGTATGACAAACTGTTTCATGCCCAGTTATCTTTTGGTTTCTCTAACTCAAAATCTGATTGCTCACACTTTGTTACATTCTCTCATTCATTAGTGATTATTTTGGTCTATGTGGATGATATATTGGTCACTGGTCCAAATCCTTCATTCTGCAAGGATTTTATCACTTAACTTGGTAAATTGTTTCTAGTTAAGGACTTAGGCCCTCTTCATTATTTCTTAGGCCTGGAAGTCCATAGATCTTTAGAGGGAATTTTTCTTTCTCAAGGGAAATATGCTTTTGATTTATCACCGTGTTCAACACCACTTGGTAGTTAGAAATTAGATCATGTTGGCTCTTTTTTATCTGATCCTCATGAATACAAGTCCATTGTTGGTGCTCTCCAATATTTAACATGGACACGACACTTATCCTTCGCAGTTAATCAAGTTTGCCAATTTCTCATTGTCAACAAGATACACATTATCAAGCTGTAAAAATGATCCTCATATTTCTTAAGGGTTCTGTCAATCAAGGGTTATGGTTTAGAAAAAGTCCTTTACATCTCACTGCTTTCTCTGATGCTGACTGGGCTGGCTGTGTTTATGACCAGCGTTCCACCAGTGGCTATTGTGTGTATTTGGGCAGCAACCTTATCAGTTGGAGTGCTAAAAAGCAAAGCACAGTTGCTCGCTCTTCCACAGAAGCTGAATATTGTTCTCTAGCACTTACTGTAGCATAAATTACATGGGTTTGTAAGATTTTCAAAGACATTGGCTTTCCTTTATCCAAAGTTCCTGTCTTATGGTGTGATAATGTCTCTGCCATCTCCCTCTCTTCGAATCCATTTTTTCATGTTCATACTAAACATGTTGAAATAGATTATCACTATATTCGGTAGTACTGTCTCATCTTCTTCATGTTAAGTATGTGCCTACTCAATATCAAATTGCTGATATTCACACAAAGGCTCTCTCTCTAAAGCTCAGTTCAACACTTTGTAGTCCAAGCTTTCTCTCAGATTACCTCCTGTCAGCTTGAGGGGGTGTATTGACACATAATCTAGCACATCATAACAGTTTTTTGTTTGCTTAGTGTAACTAATTGTTGTCTTAGTGTAATTAGTTATACTTGATTAGGTGCTAATTATGATTAACAGGTGTATATATATTTATATATATACACAATTGTGAAGACTCATTTATTCAATGAAACAGAATCTTTCATAAAACTCATAACAAGCAAATCAAATCACGAATGATCTAACTTGCTCTAATACCAAGTTGAATATCAGAGTTCGCGACAAATAAGACTAACAAGAGTATTATTAAACAAATGAGAATGTTGAAATGGCTACAGAATCCCAAGAGACAACGTCGTGAGTAACTTATTTCTCAAACTAAATTACAAGCAATATTTATAGATAATTAAACCTAAGAAACACTAACTCGGATGGGCTAGACTCAATTCCTAAACTAACAAGGAAAACCCAAATACTAAAATAAACATAAATACTAATATTTTCCAACAAATATGACTTTATATTTAAAGTTTATACATTTTTTAAGATATTATATTCTCCAATTTGGGTTATTGCAACATAATGAAGAACCAAAGTGAGGGAAGCACAATAAATGGTGTAATATAGCTATATTTTAATGGTTAAAACGTATACAAAGAACTTGTAGCTTAAATGGTTAAAATGTTTATATCTATAATTCTTTTATCAAATAATATTAAAAAAAGGAAAATTTGAATACAGTATATCAGATGTAAGAATAAACATTCTTAATCATGTATGCTACAAATGTCTTATAACGTTTATCACTATATTTGAGACACCGTATATGATTTTAAATGTAGACCTTAGCATAATATAGGATTACAGTCGGTCATATGCACATGCACGATATACAGTTGAATTATGCCTTAAGGAATTTCATGCCAAAGGCAAGGTCTGACACAATTAGCAAAAGGAATTGAACCTCGTGGTCCAACGTTTTAGAGAGAAGCAAACATCTGTGATGGATATGTCATATGAGTCTGTCTGACCTCGTTTGCAACCATGATGTTTAGTGGTGTTAATATCTGACAGAGATAATCATATTCCACGTCTTTTCTTCGGATCTAAATCAATCAACGGTAGGCATTTTGTCTCCTCACTCTCGAAGGACTGTGCGCCCATCAAGCTTCAGAACCTAGTTTTAAATTGGGCTCCCGGGTGATTTATTTGTTCTGCAGTTCAAGTAGCCAATATCAACAATAACAAAGCATTTTTTCACTAAGTAGGGTCAACTGTATGAATCTTAGAACACCTCGTGCTTGCTTCTATGCCACGTCTTCCATTAGATTCAAGTACTCTAAGTCTTTTCTTAGAGTCTCTTCCAAAGTATTTCTAGGTCTTCCTTTACCCTTTCGGCCCTGAACCTTTGTCCCGTAATCGCATCTTCTTACTGGAGCGTTAGTAGGCCTTCGTTTCACATGTCCAAACCACTGTAACCTATTCTCTCTTATCCTTCCTTCAATTTCAGCTACTCCTACTTTACCTCGGATGTCCTCATTCCTAATCTTATCCTTTCTCGTGTGCCC